GCCTATGCAGGGGGTCGGACTCGATGATCTATTGAGGTCCCTTCCGACCCTAACATCTATGAATCTATGAAAAGTAGACTGCAAAATGAGCATGTGGACATTAGATCTCAAAGTAACTTCTCTGTTTCATATGCCTAAGTGACCATAGACACATCCCACTGTGGACAACCCTAAAGAAAAGACCAGTCCATTCGGAAACAAAATCTCAATCTCACCAAAGAATAGTGATTTGAGCCACTGTTTTATCAAAAACAGAATGCAATCTAGAAACTTTAGAAATTATACAACTTCTTGTGAATTTGTGAAGAGAATTTCAGGCAGCCACTTCATAAAATTTCTGCAATGGATACATTTTTCAGTCATGCCTTGAAGCTTACTTTGAGCTCTGGTGAAGTGCACTCAACTAGACTAGATTATCTGCAAAGCCTGTTCTCACAGTCTGGAAATCAAAGGCTCTGGGTGGAAACTGTTTACCCTTTATCTGGTCCACAAAGGGCCAAGGAAATTACCTACCTCAGCTGCCAGCGACCTTTCAGGCTGTGGCTTGGATGGACCCAGTTCAGGTCACAAGTGGGTGGGTGCTAGAACCCAGCCACTGACAGTGTTTTACTACATGGTGGCAGGGGGAAGTGGACACTGCAGATTCTTCCACACGGTCATGGCACAGGAAGGCAACTGCTGCCAAAACCACGTATGGCCAAATGGCACTGAAGCCCCACATGTCTATGTGCGGGACCAAATGGCTTCACAGGCTGGATCTGGCTGCAAACTGTAGGTTGCCGACTCCTGACCTAACTAGTTTTGTCCCTTAAAAGGAGTAAGCCAAGGCAAGTCTTGCATTCAGATATGGAGCAGTACTTCCATCCTGGATGAATGAGGTTTTGAGAAAAATATCACTAGGTGCATACATTGGTTTAGGCAAAACTGAGTAATCAGCTTCTCCAGGTATTTCAGGTGCGTCTATAGAGACTTGCTGATTTTTCTGGGTGAAAAACAATGTGCGGGGATCTATTATAAGAGCCTTGTGCCCTCTTCACCCTTATTTACAAGGTGATAGAGATAAAAAGGTTATTACTATTGACAAATGCTGTGTGGTACATCAGAGATCCAACAACTAAATTCATATTCCAACCCAGGACCAGATCTCCTACTGCTAGGAATACTTTAGTTATACCTTAAGAATCTGAGTGGGAAAATACTAACTGCCCCTCTACTGGTTAGCCAAAATGGTTAATAAGTACACTTCAAACTCAGGGCAGTTTGGTCTGCTTCATTTGCAAAAGGTAATCTAGGTTGAACAGTATCAATTCCTCAGATAGAACTAAGGATCTCATACTATACCACAGGTATGTTTATACCACAACAATTCAAGATCTAAATCCAGGAAACTCTCATGTGAAGACTCTCTGGGATTATCCCTATGTAATTAATCCTTATGTAATATAATTAAGCAAAAGAGGAAATATTGTTAAATTTGAGTTCCACACCAAGGTAGATTGAATTCACGAAAGCAGCTCAGTTTCACTGAAATTGAACTCATTAATTTCAGTGGATGAAGCCTTGTCCCAATACACGAAGTTCTCCATTTTATTATTGTTATAATATAAATTGTGCATCAGAATACAAGCAATCTGAACTGTTTGATCAATTCCAGAGGACAGAGACAGACTGGTACTGACCTACAACAAGATTAACAAGTCAGTTATTCAAACAAAGCAAAAATATGCAGGAGAAAAGAAATTATATGTAACATGGTAAGATGCTGTCTCTGCATAAGAAAATCTTATTTCATTTCTTTTTTATTGTCTCATAAGCATTAACAGCCTCAAAGGGAAAGGAGGGGGAAGAGATCAAACACCTCAGAGGGTCCATGTACACACTGAAAAGTTTCCTTGAGTGTACAAATCATAATCTTTTTAATGTAGTTAAATACTGCATTATCAGAGTTCAAACTTACAATATCTATTGCTTCCTCACCTAGGACAAATAATTTATTTTCCTTTGAGGTATACCTGCTGAATAGAAGAATTGTAGCTTTCAATAAGTCTAGCAGAACAGCTGCATAAAATGGCTTAAAAATCTTGCATGCTCTGCAACTTTAAATATACTATCTGTGCAAAGTTCTGCCTGTTTACAAAACAGGTTTCATAAACTGATACAGAAAGCAAGAACATTTTACCTGTATCTCTTGGCATTCACATTAAATCCCAGCTTAACTGCCTGAATAAAGATTCTAGAGTTATATAGTTCTGAAGCTTAGGCTAAAGCCAGCAACATTTCTCCCCCCGCCCCCCCAACCCTCCCCCGACACCTCCTGCTAATTTTAATAGCTTTACAAGCCATAAAACTTGGATCTGCATCATGAGCCATCAAATAACATGAGCCATCAAATAACAGCAGGATGGACAAGCTGAATATAGGTGACAGGAATACAGGGTCTTCATAAAGTCCTTGTGCACTTTTAAACTTTAGTAACTTAGGTTGTGCACGACTTTATGAAGACCCTGTATTATGCAACAGGAGAATATAAGTGAAGCTGAAGGGAAAAGTCTGCAAGACATGTACGTTCTTCACTACTGTACGGAGCAGAGACATGGCCCCTGAAGAAAACTCATGAAAGGAAACTGAATGTGACAGGGATAAGAATGCTCCAATGGAGGTGTGGAGCAATGAAGAGAGATAAAGTAAGGAATGCTTACATCTGAGGATCAGTGAAGGTAGTGGAGGCATCTAAGAAAGTACAAAAGAGAAGACTGGCATGGTATGGTCATGTTCAAAAGAGTCTGGAAGAATACATGGGAAAAGAAGTTACCAGAATGACATTACCAGAGAAAAGGGGAAAAGGAAGACTGAAGATGAGGTGGAGAGATATAGTGGAGAGGGACATGAGAGGAGGAGTTGAAAGAAGATATGCATGACCAAAGTCAGTGGAGAGCCAGGATCCGCAACAGCAGCCCCACTTAGACAGGACAAGGAAGGGAAGGTGATGACAAGCCATAAAACTGTTCTAGAAATCTAAATCTATTGGGAAAATGTAAGATTTGTGCATCAAGGTCCAAATATTTCCATGATATTCTAAACCGTGTGTTACAAGTAGGTTAAGTGAACAATACATATTCCAATAACAATAATAAATAGAATTACCATGAATAGAATGTATCATGGAAGATGAAAATCAAGTTTCATATTGTCAGTTTTAAATCTTTTAACCTGAAAAGTTTTTACCAAGGATTGTGTCATAGAAGATTTACTTGGACAGATATGTTTTCAAAGCCTTTTGTATACAACTGCCCTCCTATAGTTGGGAGCAAAGCAGCTGTCCCTAATCCTAGATAATGTCCTTTTATACAACCATAGTCAAGAATTCATCCCTAACAGCAGCAATGTTTACACTACCTAAGCAGATCTGACTATAGAGACAGATCCTGGGAGGTGCTTAGTACCTCCAATTCCTGTTGATTTCAATTTTCAATATTTACATCTAAATTTACAGAATCATGCCCACGGCCACGAGAATTTAAGATGCTCAAAACATAACAAGGAGTTATTCAACATTTCAGAAGACCAGGCATTTGGAGAGTGAGAAATATGAAAACAGAACATTCCAGTTTTTATGCAATCTTCCTACCTGTTCAGGATTCTCTATTATAATCCTCCGAACAGTACCCTGTGAACAGGGAGATATTTTTATGTTTGGAGACTGGATTTCCTATAAGAAAGAAGAAAATAAAAAGAATCAGCAATTACTGCTATTTACTCTCCAAGGTCTTTGGTATGATCCTAAATACCCCAACTTTTAAACATTTCCAAATTTACACAGAAAAACACGTACGAAAAATCAGGTATAAATGTATTATGAAATGAAAAAGTATTTCTAAAGATTTCTTCTTAAGTCATGGCCTAAACTTTAAAAGAGGGGTGTCAAATTCATCTGGTCTCCTGGGCCAGATACAGACTGCAGAGCTCCTTGGGGCTGGATCCAGACCCGATTAGGTCAGCGGGGCCCTTGAATCAGGGACCGGGAGGGGAGGGGAGGGGAGGGGGGTAATGTAGTCATTACTTACCCCTTGCCAGAACACACATCCCCACTGGTGTTTGGTACCCTGGACTCTGGCAGCAGGCTTTGCCCTAATTCATCCCAACCTCAATTTCCCAGCTTTCCTAGGAGAACTGTGGCTGTAAGCTTGACAACCCTGCTTTAAAAAATTGCTAGAATTTGTTGTGCAGTATAACCTCATAAATCCAGATACCAAAAATCCAGAATTCTTGAAAATCCAGCACTTTTAAAAAAAATACATTTCAGCGGGGAGTAACGGTAGCCAGTCCCAGAGCAGCAGAGGGAGAAGCTTGCACACAGTGGGTGCCTCCATGTACCACCCTGTGTTGCTGCTCTGCATGAGGCTGCTGCCCCCCACCCCACACTCTGGTTTCAAAAATCTGGAATTTCCAAATTTCTGCCAGGTGATTGGTCCCAAGCATGCCGGATTTATGAGGTTATACTGTATCTTAGTTTTGAGGTTCCAAAACTAAGGACTTAAAGCCTCTTTAAAGCATCTTAAATTAAACACCTAAAAACTGAAACACCTAAAGTTACTTTTGGAAATGCAGGTCCATACCTTTTTAATGTTATGGAGCATAATTATTATTATTATTACTGTTGTTATAAATATTATTATTATTGTTATTAGATTCTCCCAAAGCTTAGGAGGGGGGGTTATGTTTTTTGGGGGTTTTTTGTTTTTGTCTTTTTTTAAGAGGCAAACTTCAAAATAAACAAGTTTATAGTAATTCATCTTGAGAAATTAATGCATTGGTTAAATAAACTCCACAATAGTAAAAAATAAGCAATTTATCTGAAAATATGCAACAGGATAATATTTATTGCTTGCCTGTAGATAGTATGTAAACAAGAAACATTTTTTAAGCAGCTAAAGACAGACTATGATTAATATTATTAATATTTGGCCAGTGAATGGGTTTTGTAGTTTAATAATGCCATATTTGAAGATTTGGTTGCACAAACGCACACAGACGCTAAAAAATGCTAAAAGTCACTTTGGGCGTGTCTACACAAGATGCTAAATGCTCAGTAGACTAATTCTACTGCCGTGACGTGCTGATGCGCAAGAGCTGTGCTAATGCACTAATGCTTAGTAAAACTAGTCTACTGCACGTTAGCATCACAAAAAACTCTGTGCTGGTGCTACTGTGCAGTAGCGCTGGTTACTACTCATTCAGTTAGTACCTGTTATTAAAAGGTACTAAACTTAATGCTCAGTAACTATAATGCATTAATGAACATATAGATGTGCCCTCTTAGGCATGCATGCACATGCGCGCGCGCGCGCGCGCACACACACACACACACACAGAGTTAAAAAAAAACTTGTATTTAAAGTGTACCCATTTTGTGTACAAACTTTGGCACTATACATGCCGCTCTGACATCACTTGGTCTGGTAGGGACTATATGATATGGACATGCTGCCAACCCAAAGTTGGCAAAACTAATCCACTGGACACTCATGCAACATACCATTTCTGCTAAGCACAGTGCTTTTAAAATTCATTTACTGCATAAGTTTCCTACAATGCTCAACACCAGAGTACCTATCCTCATCTTCATTAAAGAATTTATCATCACAGAAATATTTTTCTTCTTTGCAGTCAAGAAATGAAGGGCCAGACTTTCAAATGTGGAATCCATTTTCAGATCTAACAATAATAAATACACAGAGGGGCCCTGGGCTTTAGGGCTAGCTACAATAATTTCCCCAGCATATTTTGAAGAGCTGGCTGCAAGAGACACTATTTCATCTGTGAAAATACAGGTAATAAGCACAAACAATACCAAGTATATTCTAAGACTGGGGGCAGGCATTCAGGGAGGCCTCCATTTTCACTTCAACCTAAAACTCAGGTCTTCCACGCAATTAAATTAACCAGTACTTCAGGGCAGCTGCACAAGTATCCTAAAATAAAGATATACTTACTGTATGCATTGTACTAAAACACTTCTGTCCTGCTGTTACCCCACTTCATGTTTCCACTCATTTTGACCACCAGAGTTCATTTTCATGCAGTTCATTAGCATTTTTGACCACCTGCACATTTTCCTCCACACTACATAAGACTTTTTTGGCATGTAGTTGCTGAGTTAAATTTGAATAATAATAATAATTATTATTATTTCATTTTTCTCTATTATTTCATCTGTACCCAACAGAATGATGGAGATATCCCTTAGCCTCTGTGCCCATGTGCAAAATGGGAATAGAAATCACAGTAAGTGCTAATATATTGAGGTAGTTCCTCATGTATTGTCAATCAGTGTAACTAAACTGAAGTCAGAGCTACACCAGTTTTAACTAGCTGAGGACATGGCTCATAAATTATTTTCTTAGCTATAATACTATGTTGAAGTTAAAGTGCTTTTAGTTTCTCAATACCTCACTTTTGTGATGAAATGTAGATAAAAATCTATACTTTGCTTAAACAGCAAAATGACAGGAACGTAAAAATCCCATACTAGATCACTCTTGGACCATCTGGCCCCATATCTTATTGTAAATTCCTTCACAACACGGCATAAAACTTTGTAACTTTCAATTATGAATCAAGATGCCAACAAAGGAAGTTTAACTTTTCCTTTCAATTGTTTATTTTTTTATGTTCACTTTCTTTTGGCAAATATTTCTTTCCATTTCTTTTTCAAGCACTGCATCCCTTAATGGACCCTTAACATGCCACGCATGAGCCTGCAACATTAATGTTATCAAAAAAGTGCCCATTGAGACCACAGCACTACTTTCTCCAACATGCAAAATTCCCAAAGAAATCAGTTTGAAGATTGTTCCTACTACTCTACCACAAAAGCTGCAATCTGCAGACTGCATTCTGTTGCAATCTACAATTGTACTATATTGCAATTTTAAAATTTGGAGACCAAACATAGGCATTTCCTCTCCTAACCTCTCAGCAACACTAGGAGGTTTTTGTTGTAGTTATTAACTGTAGAGAGCATTCAACACTGGATTAGAGCCAATGCAAACTATATCGGATCTCCACTTTCAACTGGACGCATCTTTGTTGTTGTGTAAGGAACCTACAGCAGTTTTTCAACCCTCTTGCTGAAAAAAGATGAATCATAAATTATCCTCAGGAGAAATAAACCGAAGTAAAAAAAGAAGTAATCTGACTAAGCATCAATTATAGTAATTAGGGAATTTAAGAGTGAAACACTTGTCATTGGCTTGATTTTTAAAAAAATGTTTTTACATAATTTGAGTCAGATCCTGCAAGTTTTAACCATGCGAGTAATCCTACTGAAGTCAGCAAGATTCTTTGCAAAACAAAAGCAAAAAAAAGATTATAGAAATTTTATAACCCAGTTTCAAAACTACCTGGTGCATAAGTGGGGCTGGTAGGCCAAGTATAATATTAACCACAGTAGATGATTAACAGTGACAAAAGATAGGTATCTCTTGATCCAGCCACGAGTACCGGAGCATGATATGACAGCGTTTCAAAAACTAATGGTAAAAAATCTGCCCAACCTATAACTATGAGGAAATGGGAAACCATACAGCAGTGCGGAACACTGATTGCAGCATTGCCAAACACACCCATCAGTCACAACTACATACAGAAGTGAAGCAATGTGGTGCAGTAAATGATTGTTGCCCGTAAAATAGTTTTATTTTGAAACTGCCATTAGTTTCTGAAACCCCCCCATGTACATTGAAAAATGTATTCTTTTAACAGGCTGGCTTATAATAAAAGTAAACCTGCTTAAACTAAATCCTGCTGTCCCTTGAGACAGATGACTCACGTTATTTACAGCTACCTAACTCTGGGAGGGAAACATATAAAATAATTTAGTCAAATACTAATATGCTCTCATAAGCATAAATTCATTTCTGAGAAGGCTGGAAGAATAAGATGAAAACCCTCTCTAATCAAAGATTTATATGGACAGATTTTAGATCCTATGTAGAACTGGATACTTAGAAGTCTGGGAAAATGTTTTACTCATAATAATAGTAATAATAATAATATTATTATTATTATTATTATTTCTCTTTAAGGGTATAGACATATACGTTTGGAGCTGTTTCAAGAAGGGAACATTTCAAAGAGGCAGAAGCTGTTACCTTCCAATTGTTGTGTGAACAAGCCAAGAAAAATACGAATGTAACAATGTACAGTTACATCATTCCTGGCTTGTTACTCTACATGCAACAAGTTAGATTGCAACGTCTACTGCTCTTTAGAAGCACTCTCCTTTTAAAACAGCTCCAAATACACCAGCATCCACATCCTAAGATATGAAGAAGCCTTTTCACAAACCCTGAGCCCAGTTACAGTACTTTAAATTCATAGCAATGCTATTAATTTAAATGCAGTGGTGATCACTCTCTCAAAAGCCATGTGAAAGGGACAAAATAGGAGGAAATCTTCGTAGTTTCTCACTGAGAAACTCACTATTTTTCTCACTATTTTTTCCTAATAGTTGTGTCAGAGGCAGGATCTCTCTGCCCTTTTCCGCACTAGGGCAAACTTGCGGTACAGCTAGGCATCATAAACATCTAGGAGACAGACCAGAAGCCAGGACCCTCTATACAAAAATCCTATAACTCCCCATCAGCTACATGGCTTTGCAACTCTAATGGATATGCCCTGTCCAAGGTAGGAAAATGAGTGTACAGGAATGCAACGGAGTTACAGCTAATACTATGTTCTCACCTTAATCTCAGTTTGATGCCTAATTCAGGGACAATCCTCCTTTCTACCGCACAGGTCCTAAACCTAATCACTAAAATCCTAATGCAACAGACGCAGGGGAGGTGCTGGTGGGAGGGGTAGCATTTTGTCACCACGGGCTGAAGTTTATGACCCAGCCCCCTGCCATGGACCACAAATCTCCATCTCCTGGAGAGCTCAAGCTGCCTGCATTTACCATCACCACCAATCCCCAGCCTCTCTGCAGCAAGAATAAGCACAGGAACGAGAGCAGCAGAGGGCTATAGAGGAACACACTGCTGATGGAACGGGCAGTAGAGTGAAGGTACATAGCACCCGATCCCCTATGTTTCCCTGGGCCAGATCTAGCCCACAGATTGTAGGTTGTTGCCCCTGCTAGAGCAACTTTGGCAATATTAAAGAGGAGGAACATGCTGCAGTGGAGATAACTGAATTACTTTCATCGAGAAGTAGAGGTTAGCAAGGTTGATGCAATGCTTGCATGGATTTCACTGGTGTGACTGAGCTCTCTGGATTTGCAAGAATGCAAGGAAGAGCAGATTTGTTCAAAAGACACTTCAAATGTAAATTACCAGGTAAAAAGTTTATGCAGTTTTCCCCTCTTTCTCTTTAAGATGTTCTAGGATGACATCAGGGATTATTATTATTTTTAATATAATCCTTTGATAGTACTACTCAGCCCCAGGATCAAAAAAAAACCCTGCACTGCAAAGTAGCAGCACAGGGAATGCCTGCATGTGGCACTGCAAATGGGTCTGTGGTGCTGCATGCCACATGTCTGCGCTCATCGGGACATACCTTTTATGTCTTCACAATACAAAAGTGACATCTTCCAAGTAGAAATTGAATAAAGAATTTAAAAGTCTAAATAGCAAGACTTAAATTGTACATGTAGATACTTTTCCCTGTATTTTTATAAGATTTATTATACCAGCTTGCACTATGCATGCATATTATCAATAATCCAAATCTAAAAAAACTGGTTAAATATTCAATAAACTTGTAAATATATCTGAGGGGGTATTAAACTCATCTGGCTTTGCAGGTCAGATGAGAGGTATAGGGCTGGTCTACAGGCCAGATCAGGCCCACAGATCGGCCCCACATGTTGGATGCAGCATATAGGGCCGCATGAAGCACATGTGCCTACTTCAGCCCCATGCGCCACATGCAACCTATACTGGCCCCAGCCCCACCTGCTGCATGCAGCAGGCAGGGTTGGTCCAGGGCACATGCTGCATGCAGCGCTCATGCCATACTGGCTCTGAGTGCTAGATCCAGCCCATGGGGCTGATCTGTGGATCCAATTTGGACTCCCACCAGATCTGGCATGCAAAGCTAGTCTGGCACACGTACCACATTCAACATGCACCCTTGACCACCACTGCATGCAACTTCAACCTTAACTGACGCTTCTTCCAGCTAACCAGGCAAAAATTAAACACTAAAAATAGAGCTGCTCTGTATTTCTTCAGGGAAATATTTTTTAAAATAGACGATCAGCAGTGTAACAAGCAAAGAAAAATTCTGAATGTTTGCAGACAGGTTCTGGAAATGCCAATGTATGCAGGTATCTTTACTCATGAAAGTAGTCCCGCGGCAGTTATGTCCTAACACTGGACTCTAACATGCATTTAATTAGTCTATATTAAAAGCTTTGGTACAAAAAATAATGAGTTTATATGCTTCGACATGTAAAAAACAATAACAAAGATATTCCATCCAATTCATCTCCAGTATTTATGGGCATATCAATAACAAAGCCAACACTGTACAAACAGCTATAAAGGAACCTTCAAAAGACTGGCATAGGAAGAGCCTGCAACAAACTGGCTCCAATGAAGAATTTACTAAAGACCAGGTTACCTCTGGAATTAGTCCATATTAAAAGCACTGTACATTATGTATGTGGTGAGGCAGCTGAAATTTGTCCGTTCTTCAGAACACCTATCTAATATTGTGTGGGATACCTGTCAATGATCAGGTAAAGTACAAAAAGGGTCTCCTTTTACTCCTGTGTAGGTTTATCTTGTACTCCAAATAAAAATATTTGTCAGCTATTAATTCCATGGAAACCATAGATTCTGACCAGAAAGAAACCAGCAAAATTAAACATTTACCCCTGAAATGCTAGAATCCTTTTTTCATCACACTTTTTCTTTTTTTAAAACATGTACGTAATTTCTACCCATAACTAAATCAAAATGAGGCAGAATTCTGCAGAAAAACACACCATAATGCATGAGTATATATA